ATATATATACACAAAGGATATATAGAATATATAGGCTATATTTACACAAAGACCTGGCAGATTGAAATACTTACAGTGATGGTAAACTTATGGTTCACAGAGGGCGGTTTGTATCATTGAAAGCTTTAAAAGGTTCACCATCTTGGATAGGAACAGAAAAGTGAGCCAACTGATACAATAACTCAAGTCATGAAACTATGGAATTTTTGTATTAGAATGATGAGCTATCACAGCCTTACAGTATTTAAAAGTTATTTCTGAATTTCCAAAATTTTTACTTTTCACTGAAACTCCTTTGAGAGCACATTTAAAGTTCTTTATGCATTGCTCTCATCTCCTAATTTTAAAACTGACTATAAAATCATAAAGGAATTGTACTGATATAAATCAAAAATTTTTGTTGTTGTTATACTAGAGATCAAACCCAGGAGTGCTTCACCAACGAACAATGCCCCCAGTGCTTTTTATATTATTTTATTTTATTTTGATTCTTTGAGAGAGGGTCTTGTTTTGTAACCCACCTTGGCCTGGAATTCATAATCTTCTGCTTCAACTTTCAAGAGCTAGGATTGTAGGTTTTAGCCACCAACTGCTAGACTGTCTTTGAACTTTTGAAAACACGAATGTGAAATAAATATTTTAAAATGAGACTTATTCCAATAAAAATAATCTGATGAAAAATTCCTTCCACATCAACAAGGTCAATAGCAAGGATTTTTAATAAGGCATTTATTGGGATTCACAAGTAATGGAAATCTTTTGTTTTAAGTATAGAAGAAGAATATTGTGAAACACTGAATATATTTCATAATTTCAGTGATTCTAAAATGACTAATTTAAATACAAAAAAAAACCATGAAGTATCCTTTCTTTGTCTTTTCTATCACTCTACTGAGGCTTTCACATGTAGCTTCTTTCAGCTGCCTTTATTTTTCCACTGTATTTTTTTATTAGTACATATTACAAGCATCTTGGGGAGGGGGGACATATAAATAATACAGCTCAATTTATTAAATCCCTTTCTCTCCTGCCTCCCTCTAAACCCTTTTTCCCCATTTTAATTCTTGTTGATATTATTAATCTTATCTCATATCGAGTGGAATATGAGCTTCAATACTGTGTAGTGTCTTTTTACTTCTATTCTATACCTTGATCACTTTTCATATTTTTATGTTATTCAATAGCTAATATTCTTTTATCTATAAGTACATCTACTGATCACTGAAATTGATATTTTTCTTATGTC